GCAATAAATCACTAGCCAATAAAAATACATTATACCTGTCTCTTATACACATCTAGATGTGTATAAGAGACAGGTCATTGACCTCAATGAGTGAGGTGAGAATGTTTTTAGAACTTTGTGAGAGAAGCGAGCGGAATTAGGGGAATGCGAAGGGTCTTGGTTGACGAAAAGTAATGACTCGGTGATGAGTTGTAATTAGCGACAGTAAACCTAGAATGTTCTAGAAGGACAAGAAGGTCTTTTTGCAACCAAAAAGAGTTACAGAATTCCCCAGGAGAAGGGAGTTTGTTTTTGTTTTGATAATCTTCTCGTGAAAGGTTGGTAACGCTGGCTAGTGCGGGGACGATACGCTTGTAGGTGAGAATAGGCTATTTTAGGATCGGTGATGGAATCCTAGGCCTAGCTAATCATCATCTGATATTACATCTAGTTTTATGTGGAATTCTCAAAGGACATTTGGGAACTTGGATCACTAGTGGAATTTTTAGCGGACAATTACATTCGGATTAATCAGAACTTGATCAAGTCACCTCATCACCTGTAAATTTGCTTGGTATGAACTTATGCCTAGATGTATAAATTTCAGTGGTGACTTAGGTAAATTGTATAACTTAGTCATTTGCCATCGGTACTCCGTAATTGTTTAAATCTAGTGTTCTTCTTTGCTCGAAGTATTTTCATGAAAAGGGAAAGTACCCACTATAATAAATTGTGTTAACTTTTATCGGTTGTCTGTTTGTGTGATTCCTTCTTCTGGTCTGAAGTGTGTCGTAACAATGTGCTTTTGAGTGGTGTTAAGTAGGACCAACTATCCTTCCTAGCTAAGCCTAGGTTAATTTGAGCATGGAGGAAAGCTTCTTTCCTCCATGGTAAAAAGACTAGCCTATCTATCTATCATCAGAATATGTACTCTGTACTGTAATAAATACAATTTTACTAAAGATCCCTTCCTAAAGGGCCTAGCCTAAGGAATATTCGATCCAACTCGGCCACAAGTCAACTCGGCCACAGTCAACTCGGCCACAAGTCAACTCGGCCACAAATCAACTCGTCCACAAAAAGTTCTGCTGCAGTCAACTCGGCCACAAGTCAACTGGGCCACAAGTTAACTCGGCCACAAGTCAACTCGGCCACAATAATATTGCTGTTATTATTGATGTCATTGTTATTATTATTGTTGTTTTTATTACCGTTAGTTTTAATATAAATTATTTTATTAGTCTTAGCATTAACATTATGTATTGTTTAAATTTTTGCTGATATTATTATTGTTACCATATAAATAATACAAAATTCTCGATTTTTTAAATTCATATTATTATTATATATTAGTCTTAGTATTATTATTTTAACAATAGTAATTTTAAAAATATTGTTATTGGTGTTTTATTGGTATTTTTCTCATATTATTTTTATTATTATTATTATTATTATTATTATTATTGTTGTTGTTGTTGTCACCTTTATTATCGATATTATTACCCTATTTACTAAGTAGGCCTAGTATTATAAGTATCATAATTATTATTATTATTACTAATTAGTATTACTATTATTATAAAAATAAACGTTATCTTTAATTTATTATTGCTGTTATTATTGCTATTATCAC